GGGGGACGGATCGGACTTTGTGCAAGTGGGAAGAGGTTACTTAGATATGGGTGGGAGGTAAAGGGCGAGAGAGGGAGAGAAAGAGATAGAAGAAGAGAAGAGAGAGAGAGAGAGAGAGAGAGGAGAGAGAGAGAGAGAGAGAGAGAGAGAGAGAGCGAGAGAAGGAGAAAAAGATATATGGACACCTTTTCTTCTCTCTCTCTCTCTCTCTCTCTCTCTCTCTCTCTCTCTCTCTCTCTCTCTCTCTCTCTCTCTCTCTCTCGCCTCTCTACTCTCTCTCTCTCTCCTCTCTCACTCTCTTCTCTCTCTCTCTCTCTCTCTCTCTCTCTCTCTCTCTCTCTCTCTCTCTCTCCTCCTGTCCTCCCACAGTAGCCGCTCTCTCGTCTCTCTCGTTGCGTCATCCGTCGCGACCGCGGCACGCTGTGACGTCATCATACCCGCAGTGACGTCACTACCGGATCTGCCGCGCCGCCGGCCTGGAGCGTGTGCCGAGTAGGGTAGACCGGGGCAAGTCGCCCCGCCGAGGTAAAACGCCTCACCGATGTTTCTAGGAACTGGCAAGGTTCTGGGGAAACATTCTCTCTTCTTTAAAACGTGCACTATATGATCATTATATGAGCAGACTGGAAAGATATTGTGATAACTCTTTAGGGAGATATAGCCAAAATTTGTTTTTGGAGTGATTTTTATGTTTTGTAGTCAGATTATGCATCATGGCGTTCTTTTATGGTTCACATCAGGTTAACGACTTTTATGTATTTTGAACAACTATTGTCTAACGCTTATAATGCTGGGTTGGTCCGTTTTAAATTATGCCTTGCTGGAGTGCAAGGCGTTGTTCTCTGACCAAACTACGTGATGGGGTAAAACGCCCCAGTAGGTCGCGGGGCAAAAAGCCCCATGGGGCGTTTTACCTCATGTGTTGTTCCGACTACCCACTTCCTAATGTTCGGTTGCTGGCGAACTGTAAGTTTCTATGCAATTTTATGTACCTTTCTCAGCAAATTAATGACAAAGGAAGTATTTTGTTAACATTTGCATTGCAATAATTTATTATTTGGCCTTATGAGGCAGGTGAAAAACCTGTACATACAATAGTGTCATAGCTGAACACCTGGCAGGATGGAAGGTGCTAACTTCAGTGCCGTGCCTCCCAAGGTCTAACGGGCCTCTCATATAAGATTTAGTCAACTAGCATGTTCAATCTTTAATCTAGAGTATGGGGCGTCTTGCCCCAGGTCGTGGGGCGTTTTGCCCTGGGGTTGGGGCAAAATGCCCCATTTGCAGTTGCTTCACAAATCACTTCCTAGCTGGGAGTCCGATCATAAGTGAATGAATTTGAGGAGTGGAATTTAAAGTAAAATGTCCAAAGAACGCATTGAGCACAAATTTGGCCTTCCAGGTGATGTGGGACAAAAGTTATGTAGCAAAATAAATTATCTGGGGCGTCTTGCCCCAGGCTACCCTACCTATTGAATGGCATACGGTGGCCGGCGGTTGGGACTGTTGTCACTTTAATCGATTCAGGGACACAGCTGTGTATGAGTCAACTCACATTCAACAGGAGTGAGGTTATTAACCCGCGTGGCAGAGGTACCCAGTATCTCTGGTCTGATCGGGTTGGATAAATTCACCAGGAAAGTGCGCATTTACCTGCCGTTTAGAAGTGCTGCTGCAAGAATAATAGCATTCGTGTCACTACACTCTAGCAGTTTATAGCTCTGTATTGCTATGTGATATGCATGTAAAGTAATCAGTCTTGTATTTGCCACGAACGGTGACAATTCACACATCCAAGACCGACAACTTCGTCCCAGCACGGACCAACAGCCAATAATGCTCGCCACAGCCCCCGCTACCGGCCGCCCGGGCCCGGTCAGCTGATCGCTCACCGCCGGGGGGCAGGCCGAGCGCACACGTAACTCACGCGGCACCGACCGACCGAGCCGCCGCGCCCGCCAGCCGGCGCTCGAGCGTCCGGCATTCGGGCCACCTGCCCGGTAGACCGGCGGTATTCCCTAACATCCTCCCCCCGTGAAACGGGACAGACGTTTCGCAAGTTCACAACACATCACATACCACCGGCTTAGCATACGATAAATCAAATCGGCGCATTATAAAAATCGACGAGAAACTGAACAAACACATCGGCGCAAAACTAAACCACGACAAATATCACACCAATGCGGAGACGGGCACTGGGCAGCCGAGGTCAGGGTGAGAAGAGGACTCACGGACTCACGGTGTGATGGTCGGACTCACGGACTCAGGATCTCGAGGTCGTGCAGACGCTGCACTGCCCTCGTCTTCCGTCCACGGCACGTTCGTACCTCGGCAGATCTGGGCACACCATCCCTCCCAGGGAACAACCTGGTCACCACTCCCATCTCCCACTTAAATCGGGGCTGATTCTCGTCCTGAAGGAGGACAACTGAACCCTCCACCAGCCCACCTTGGGATCTGAAGCGCCTCACCGCTAGAGGGAGGCTCCTGAGATAATCACGACTCCAAACCGTCCAGAACTTGTTCAGACGCCTCGCTCTAGCCCTCGCGCGCGATCTGAGTGTATCTGCTGTCTGAGCGGAGGGCTCCTGAGCCGACCGCACTTGGAAGCCCACACTGTGCCCAGTCAGAAAGTGCGCAGGGGTCAGTGGCACAGGGTCATCAGGTGCATCACCAACAAAGGTCAGCGGCCTGGAATTCACACAAGCCTCGATTTCAGTCAGCACAGTCTGCAGTTCAGTTTTTGTCAAATGTCTCTGACCGAGGGATTTTTTCAGCGCCGCCTTAACGCTGCGCACCATGCGCTCAAACTGGCCTCCCCACCAGGGAGCCAGTGGCGCCGAGTATTTGAATCTCGGCGCAAGTCGGCCGTACTGCCCCTGTAACAGACGCTCGGCGCACTTGAAAGTCCTGAAATTGTCACAATAGACAGTCGACGGAACACCGCGCCGCGCTGCAAACCTCTGAAAGGCTAACAAAAAATCGTCAACTCCCATCGACTCCGTCAACTCGAGGTGCACGGCCCTCACCACAGAGCACGTAAACAAACAGATATACAATTTCTGCTTCGGACAATCGGCAGAGAACAGAGGACCTGCAAAATCAAGTGCACAAACTTCGAAAACTTTCGCCTCGGTCACCCTGTCACGAGGCAGGGGTGGCGCCGGCTCGCAGCAGGCTCGAGAGTCGTGCCTCCGACAGGACACGCAGCTCCTCACGACGCGCCGCGCGATCGAGCGCAAACCGACGATCCAAAGGCTGGACCTCAGGGCGGTCATCAAGGTCGAAACACCGCAGTGCTTCATCACCCTGTGCCGCTCACGCACCAGCAGCTCTGCCAGGTAGCCTTTGGGGATAATTATCGGATGCTTTTCCTCATACGACAAGTCAGACATTTGCAGCCGCCCGCGCACGCGCAGAAGACCGTCATCAGCGAGAAAGGGCGTCAATCTGAGGAGTGGCGAGCTGGCGGGCACTGGCTTGCCCTGCCGCAGCAGGTCAATCTCGGCAGAGTAGCTGTCTACCTGTGCGGCACGATACAAATGGTCACAGGCAGCCGCCAGCTCCTCAGTTGTGAGCTCACCAGCTCGGCGCTCTGAGCGGTGCCTGCAGTTATACACAAACCGCAGCGTCCACCAGTGTTCGCCACGGGCCCCAAAATCCCCAGCCCAGCCCGGCCCGGGCCCATGGGTTCAGAGCCCGGCCCAGCCCGTAGCCCGCTCTTGGCAAATATTCCAAGCCCAGCCCGGCCCGGCCCGTCAAAAATAGCAATCTAGTTATTGTCTTAGTCTATTGCTATAATAAGCATGATTGATTACACTATTTTGAGAACAATTCAAATTGCATGAATATTAACATGGCAATCATGACTCCCTTCTTTTCAATGAATATAATCATTTCAAGCACCTATGGCACAAATTTTAACAGTAACAGCAAGCACCTCAGTCAATTAGGTCATGATTACACACCTATAAAAAGTTTACATGATTATATTAACTACATTCTATGAGTAAAGTTATCTTGCAAGCTGATGTGTGTGAACATTATCATTAATAATTGGTGACTCTAATGCATACTTGAAGGAAGTATTTGCAACATACTCTATACTTCCCAGCACTTACCAGCAGAAAAAAGCTTGACTTATGGGAATTGATGAATCTGTCTGGGATTGACCTTGCTGTTAAATTCACTCCATAGATGCTGCAATATCAAAAGCCTGAGAAAGCATACAAAATAGGTGACACTAACTTTAGCACTGTCTTCCAAAAAAAAAGAGAAAATCCATCCATTTATCAGCAAAACTGATTTAATCTATTTTCAATTCATGCCCACGTGTCAACCGAATCTCTGTGGACAACTATCTGCTACTTTCCTTGCTATTTTATGTTAGGCTCTTTTCAAGATATGGATATCGCTAGCAGCGTAAGCAGAAAACATGGTAAGCTTGAAATGTCATTGGGTACTTTTGCGACTTGTACGCATCATCATCATCAATCGAAAATGAGCGAACACTTCTTGATTGTCGCAACTGCGGCAGGTAGCGATTCTGACGAATTGTATAATAAAACATATATGATCAAGTTTTTGTTTTGTTTTTCGTTCGAGTTTTCAGACTTCGTGATTTTGGTTTTATTTTTTATTTGTTTAATTTTGTTTTCACCTTGATACTCACTTAAAAAACGTATTTATTTGATATACTGTTGTGTATACTACCTAGATGCCGCCACATAAACATAGCGCCGCCGCCATGATTGCACATTTTGTTGAGAAGGGGCTGGTTTGTTGTGATTTATTTTGACATATTTATGGACATTTAAAGAAGCTTTCATCGCGAAATACTCTGTAGAGTTCCTCGTTACTTACAGTGTGTTTTGTGAGTATCCTTTTAAGGTTCTGATCGTTAAAAAGCCGTCGGTGAAGGAAAAAAGACTGTGTTGGAATTGTCTCACTATCGCCATATACAAGTGTTAACTTAATGTAGCCCTGTAGCCCATCATTGTTGAGTGGCTTCTTAGTTTTTGGAGTTGTAGTGCTAAGTAAGTTATTCTGATGACTACATTTTAACTTTTATTAACAAACTAATGATGCTAGAGATTCTCTGATCTTTTTGGTTGCGGAATTTTTATGAAAACCCTCCTATGTGTGACATGATGTGATATTGGATAATTCTCAAGACTCCCAAAATTCAATATCAAGTAGGTTTTCTTTCACATTGCTTAAATTTGGTTTAGTTTTTGTATTTTCCCAGTGGGTTTTGTTTGCATCAGTTTCCAAATTTTCTTAAATTGACATTAGTCGCAAAACCCATAGTGCACAAAGCTCTTGGCCCGGCCCGTCCATAGCCCGTTAACTAATGATATTTGGGGGCCCGGCCCAGCCCGTAGCCCAGCCCGGCCCGTAGCCCGTTGGGCTGGCCCGGCCCGTGGCGAACACTGGCGTCCACCCCACGACACGCGTGGCTTTCGCCAGCGTCCCGTATCTCGTCACCTGAAACAGGCCGCGCTCAGACTCGTCCACTCTCACCGCCGTCAGAGTTGCACCGGCCACAGCATCCACCTCCTCAGGCAGCTGAGGAGCAGGTGGTGTGACGTCAGCAGACACGGGCGCCGTCTCCGCCCGTGACAGCCATTCCGGTCCGCTGAACCACAGCGGTGACGTCACCAGCTGTTCTGCCAACACGCCCCGAGTCATGAGGTCAGCAGGGTTATCCTCAGACCGGCAGTGGCGCCAGTTCTCTGAGCAGGTCAGCTCCTGTATGCGAGAAACACGGTTACGTACAAACACATCCCAGCGCTCAGGTCGCCCCCTGAGCCATCCGAGAGCGACCATAGAATCGCTCCAGCACACATAGGGGGTCTCCTCCGGTAGGCGCAGAGCCTCGATAACTAGTCTCACCAGCTCTGCTGCCGTCAGACACGCCAGCAGCTCCAGTCTGGGGAGAGTCAGCCGCTGCCTCAGCGGCGCCACGCGTCCCTTGGACATGACGAAAGACACGCGGTATGAACCGTCAGGCTGCACGAACCTGAGATAGACACAGCTACCATACGCCTTCAGAGAAGCGTCCGCAAATACGTGCAGCTCCACATCACCTGTGAGTGACGACCAGTCACCGGCGGACATCGCAGTGAAGCAGCGGGACACCCTCACGTCCCGCAGTCGCCGGCAGCCGTCCAGCCAGCGGCAGAACAGCTCTGCCTTCTCCTCCGGAAGCTCCTCGTCCCAGTCCACCTTGAGCTCCCATAGCTCTTCGAATAAAATCTTGGCCAGCACTGTGAAGGGACTGAGTAAGCCAAGCGGGTCATACACGCGGGCCATCATACACAGCACCACACGCTTTGTCGGCACAATCCCAACAGGCAGGTGGTCACCTGTGAAACAGAGTGTGTCATCATCCTGACACCAGGTGACGCCGAGCACCTTCACACTTTCATTCTCTGAACAGGCGGCCCCCTGTCTCACCGCGTCCAACAGGAGCGGCGAGTTGCTGGAACACTTAGTCAGCTCCATGCCTGCAGCAGCCATCACGGTGCAGGCATCCTGCAGCAGAGCCGCCGCCTCCTCCTCGCTGTCGGCCCCGGACAGCCAGTCGTCCGCATAGAGGCAGTCCAACAGCTCCGTCTTCACCTTGCTGTCAGGGCTCTGTGAGAGATGGTATTTGATGGTCGCATTGAGCAAGAAGGGGCTGCACGCCACACCCATCACCACACGCTTGAAGCGCATCACACGGAGGCGTCCATCTTGGCGCCACAGGAACCGGTGTGCATCTCTGTCCTCATCCTGTAAACAGATCTGATGAAAGGCACGCTTCACATCAGCACTGACGCCATATCTCCAACGCCTGAAACGCAGCAACACATCCTGCACGCTGGGCATCAGAGAGGGGCCAGTGTGCACAACATCATTCAAGGACAGTCCGTTAGACCCTCTCGAACTGGCATCGAAGACGGGTCGCACCTTGGTAGTGCTGCTGCTCAGTTTCACAACTGGTCTGTGAGGTAGGTAAAACGTCACGTTCTCGGTCACGAGCTCATCAGGAGGCACCTCACTGATGAAGCCATCATCCTCCATCTGTTGAAGAGCAGCACCATAGGCAGCCTGGAGAGGGGGATTCCGCTGAAGCCGCCTCTCCAAACTTATCAGTCTCCTCTCTGCTTCCCTTCTGTTATCCTGTAACTGATCCCTAGAATCTGTCCAAGGAATCTGTACTGTGTACCTCCCGTCCTCAAACTCTATCGTCTCATTGAACCTCCTTAGCAATGAATCCTCACTCTCATCGCTATTCTCCACATCACAGGGACCCTGAGCCCACACATCACAGCCACAGGTGTGCGGCACTACCAAGGTCAGTAACTGTCAGCCCTCTACTTTCGACCGTCCATCCACAGCACCAGAGAGAACCCAGCCAAAGGCTGTCTCCATAGCCACTAGCCCACCATCCCTCACCAGCCCCGCCTTAACAAGGGCCCAGTACTGGTCCTGCCCGATCACCAGGTCTATGTGCAGCGTGGACTCAGACGAGGGGCAGTCAGCAGCCAGCTGGAGGTGGTTGAAGGGCTGCAGTAGGTTCGAGGACACAGGTGGTCTCCGCAGGGGCGCCGATATTTGCTCCACCTCCACTACTCGCAGTTTTTCAGCTGTGGGCACAGAGACATTCAGGCCAGTCACACTGATTTCATACACATCACACACATCAGTCATTTTTGAGCCACCAAAGGAGGCACAGCTCATCTCGACAGAGCCCTCAAGCTCTCCTTTGACCTTCCTCATGAACGACTTTGTCACAAATGAGCGGTCTGCACCTCCATCAAAGATCAGAGTACCTTTGACAACACTGTTACCATCCACGGAAGGGACCAATACTGTGGCGACAGGCAGCAATGTGACAGTTCCATTGGTTGTGCATGAAAGTGAAACACTCTCACCCTGTCCCCCTCCCCCCATGGCTACACCCTGGGTGGGGGCCCCCTCCCTGGCTCCAACCCCAGCATCCACCCTCCGGGAACCCTCATTAGCACACAGGGTCACATGGTGACGCCCACCACACTTCCCACATCTGGCAGCACAGCGTCTAGCCATGTGCCCAGTCTCTAAACAGCAAAAACACAAGCGTTTCTCTCTCACACAGCTGAACCGGTCATCTACACTCAGTCTTTGCCACCCCAAGCACTTAGCTGTCTGATGCTGCTGTCCGCAGAAGCCACACCGCACAGCAGCGGCGGACTGTAGAGCAGCAGTAGAAGGGCGGGAGGCTGAACGAGCCCCACGCTGGCCCAGGAGGCCAGCCACCGGTCCCTGGCGCCCACCAGAGAAGGCAGGTCGGCGTCCAGTGGCAGCAGCAGCTGCCTGGCCTGGAGAGGTAGTCGTCCTCGTTGACGTCAGGCCCTCATACACGCCTGACCTTTCCAGCCTGGAGATCTCTTGTTGCAGGAAGCTGATGAGATTGTCCAGGTCACCCTCTCTTCCAACACTGCTCCTGGCCCACTCCAAGCGCACCTCAGAGGGCAGGCGCGACAGGATGAGAGGCGTCAGGATCACTCCATATTGCTGACCAGTGACGCCCAGCGCAGCCAGGCTCCGCACCTGCACCAGGAGCCGGTCGACCAGGTCTTGCAGCTTGGTTTCACTCGAGCTGCCAAGGCTCAACAGCTGCTGCACGTGAGCGAAGATGATGAGCTCTGGGCGACCAAACCGGCTCTTCAGCAGGTCACAGGCGGCAGCGTAGTGCTGAGCCCTGAGGGGGAGGCCCTCCACGCACTGCTTTGCTTCTCCAACGAGAAGAGACCTCAGGTAGGTCAGCTTGTGGACCTCAGACAGATCCGCCTGGTCCACTGCACATTCAAACGACTCCCAGAAGGTGCCCCACTTCATCACATCACCGTCGAACTTCGGGAGCTCCAGCTTGGGCAGACGTGCACCTCCAAATCGACCGCTAGCTGATGCAGGAGGCACCTGTTCACCTGCTTCAGCCGAATGCTGCACCTCTACAGCACGGAGAAGAACGCGCTTTATCCCCTCTCGGAACGACCAGGCAGCTTCCAAATCACCTTCCAGGCCCTCTGGATTTAGCTCACACTCGACAGAGGCCTGTACTTCGTCCAAGGCGGCCAGACGCGCCTCGCACTCTCTTTTCGCATCAAGCAGCAGCAGCCGAGGGCTCACACCAGCCACCTCCTCGTCCATCTTCTGCTCCAGCAGATCAGCCAAGACGTTGGCCGAGCGCGTGGCCCAGCCCTTCGCCGCCACACGCCGCCTCAGCAGGCGCTCCAGCTCCGCCATAGCGTTCGCACAGCAGCCTCAGAACGCTCACGAAGCCGCCGTCAGCCGACGGAAATTCACCGCCGACGACTGCCGACAGTCCACCGCAATCGTCGACAAATCGCCCACTGACGATAGCACTTGGGCATCAACCCATCACAACAATGCTCACTTGCACTGTCCCGAGCAACGTCCCGGGTTTCGGCACCAATTTGTAAAGTAATCAGTCTTGTATTTGCCACGAACGGTGACAATTCACACATCCAAGACCGACAACTTCGTCCCAGCACGGACCAACAGCCAATAATGCTCGCCACAGCCCCCGCTACCGGCCGCCCGGGCCCGGTCAGCTGATCGCTCACCGCCGGGGGGCAGGCCGAGCGCACACGTAACTCACGCGGCACCGACCGACCGAGCCGCCGCGCCCGCCAGCCGGCGCTCGAGCGTCCGGCATTCGGGCCACCTGCCCGGTAGACCGGCGGTATTCCCTAACAATGCATAAATGAGCAAATGTAAGCTATGAGCACCATATGCTACCATAATTGCATACGTATGAATAAAAACACCCTAAAATACAATAGAATGAAAGCTTTGTGCCGCCTTTGAGCACCCGGCTGTAGCTAAGTCCTGATACACGACCATGCCGCCGTTTTCCTTGTGCACTTAAATGCACACAAACAAATCTCAGAATTAAGAAAAGTCGGATTGTACATAAACAACGAATCCTAGAATGTTTACTTTAATGAAAAACAATATCAAATTCTTATCTGTATTCAATGTAAACGCGTTTCGATTATTTCTTTATCAATACATTGATACAATACAGATAAGTTTTCATTATCTGTATTGTATCAATGTATTGATAAAGAAATAATCGAAACGCGTTTACATTGAATACAGATAAGAATTTGATATTGTTTTTCATTAAAGTAAACATTTGTCAAAATGAACAATATACGAATCCTAGAATGTCGTATGAAAACTTTTCTATAAAAAGTCGTTCAAAAGATGATTGCTTCAGCCAGTCAGAATTTATTAGAATCGGACAATATACAACATATTATTGTTATTGCATTTACTGTATTTGTAAATAAAAGCTTTCCTGCCTTCCTTTATGCTGATATGCAGAGTGACTAAATTACAAAATACTTCTCCGCCTGGGACGGCAAAGATATTACGTTAAATTACCTAGACATGCTCTCTCTCTCTCTCTCTCTCTCTCTCTCTCTCTCTCTCTCTCTCTCTCTCTCTCTCTCTCTCTCTCTCTCTCTCTCTCTCTCTCTCTCTCTCTCTCTCTCTCTATATCAATCTCTCTCTCTCTCTCTCTCTCTCTCTCTTCCTCCCTCTCTCCCTCCTTCTCTCCACCTGATCCTACAATCTGTCGTCTCACCGCCGCTGCCAGAAGTGAGCTATTTGGGCGGCGTCCCAGTGACGTCACCGCCCCCTAATGACGTCACGCAGTAGCCGGACGCTCGCTATGAATGGCGTCCTTGACTAGCCACCCAGTCATCGTTCGTCAGGAGATAATGGTGGGAGCTGGGAATACCAACCACAGCCGTAGTCAAGATGGAGGATAATATTAGAATTCGCCCCGTGGCGTAGATATCCGTAGAGATTTGCCGTACATTTAGACATAACTTGTGTAAATGAGTGTCATAGTTTGAATTTATGGGTGATTAATGACTTATGTATTCAGCGTCCTTGGAAGCCCTTAAATCTGCTTCTGTTTGCATATAGAGAAACTTAACGCATTTGCACATTTAGAAACTTAGAAGTTTGACAAGGCCGAACGCTTTTATATCTGTACGACTTTACTTTTTCATATTGTTTGCCAAAGTCGAGGGGAGAAAATCATGCAGTTGAAGTGCACCTTAACCCGCGCCGTGCTGGTGGCCTGAACTTTCCGCCGAGTGCTGGGGGGGGGGGGGCGTTTTCACGCCCCCCCGTCTAACTCGGCTCCTGGGCCACGTAGCGACACGAGGTAAGCGGCAATCGAAAGAGCGTCAAAAATAAAGACGAAAACACTTCGGTCATTTTTTGGGTCAGGTCAAAGGTCAGGTCACCAGAGGTCACCAAAGGTAAAATGTTGACTATTTCAACATTTTGGAAACTGCCAACGGCTATCTCGGGAACCGATAGAGCTACAGCGCCGCGGAAAAGCGCATTCGATAGCCCTTTTACAGACCTTTCTGAGTAATGTTCTCAGATTTGACCTCAGGTCAACGGTTTAGCCTCCAGAGGGCAAAAACTCCAAAAATAGCCGTTTTTACGAAAAACGTTTTTTCGTCAATAACTTTTGACTCATAAGCGCCATGACATTACTTTTGCCAGCATCGTGTTCCTCTCGTCGAGACGCGTCGAATGAACTATTCGTTGACCTTGAAAGGTCATTTTGAAAATTTGACCTCAGGTCAGGGTCATGACCTGACCGAAAAGGGTCATGTTGCATATCAGTCGATCCGTATCGTCGAGCTGAACACATCTGACGTGTTTTCACCGCTCTAGCACGTCTCTATCAAAAGTTATAGCCAAAAAACTGCTGGCGACCGTTCATGACCTGAGATGACCTCAGGGGCACACAGAGGGGTCACAGGTGCATTTTTCCTATTCAGTGTGTCATGTTTACCTATGAACCGATGTTTGAGAGCGTTTTGAACGATATTCGTCCAAAAGAGGCGCATTTCAATTTTCTCCCATTGACTTATAATGGAGAGGTCGCAAAATTGACCTGACCTTAGGTCACAGATATCAAAAATCCGAGATATACATTTTATACATACTGTTACTCATATCAATCGCTGAAAGTTTCAAAGTGATCGTTCAGTCGGTGTAGCTATAGCGAGCCTTTGAACTTTTTCTGAGGTAAGGTCACTTGACGTGACCTGGTGACCTGACCTTGAACGGCCTAGGTCTGAAATTTTCACAACATGTGCGGAAATGATGTAGGAACACGTGTACCAAAAACGGCGGCGCTGCGCGCCGCCGTTTTTGAGATATTCGCGAAAAACCTGAGGGGGGGCGTAAAAACGCCCCCCCCCCCAGCACGGCGCGGGTTAAACTTGCATCAACGCTTTTCTGCATTTCTAGGTACAGATGGTATACACAATGCCGTATATTTCCACACCAGCATTCTGCTGCATTAGGCGCTCAAGGAGCTTAACACCGCACCTCTGCAGCACCACTGCCCCCAGCTGAACTTTATCGCGGAGCACCGAGAGATGCGATCTGTGCCTGGCCTCCGGCGGTCACTGACCTTGGTATTCCGTCAATGGCGGGTGCAGGAGGGAGGTTTTGAAGCGAGTTATTCCAGAAAAATAACACGTTTTCTCACGAGGAGACAGGCTATTTTTACGTTTTCAAATATTTTAGTTTAGCTTGTCATTTTAGCAGCAGGTAGCTATCCGATGCACTTTTAATTTCATAATATATCAAACAAGCAGTTGTGATGGTTATGTCCTGCCAACATCATCGCCTGGATCCCCCGTGCCGTATATCCAGAGGCCAGAGCTACACCCTCTAATTGTCATTAGTGTCCAGTGTAGATTGTAGAACCTTCATTACTTTAAATTCAATTCTTCTCAGCTCCATATTCTTAGAAACTAGCACCCACTACAATGAACTAAGGAACGTTTAGTATGGACTGTAGACATGCAGTTGATAACAACTTTCATCACGCGACACTCTTCCTGTTATCCGTGTGATCATTATCCGACATGCTCTTCGCACGGTACTGCACGAATTTGTCGAGAATTAAACAACAATGTAAACAATGCACCAGCTGCCAGGTTATTTATATTTTTATCATGGGACAGAAACTACGGAGACAATATAAATTAAAGGTTACAAAACGTTATCTATTTATTATTTATCACGAATTATGTAACAATGACTTTCACGTAAGGTTAGTTGGGTGGGCAACTCTGTATAAGCCATCAACGGCATGGCCAATAGTCGTGCTTGGAAGATTTTCTGCACAGTTGTTCAGAAGATATACGGTCGTTGAATCCTTGGTTGAATTCATGTGTATTGTGTAATGCTATGAGTGGTTCTTGTAAAACTGCGGTTTACGTGTAAATACTGCGGATTGCAGGTGTGAGGCGTGACTACTGACCTTGGAATATTTGTGACGTCAATGGCTGAGCAGTTTGTAATCTTGATTTATCTATGTTAGTGATGCGCAAGGAACACACAAAGCGAAACCTAACGAAAGTTGTCCATCATATCTACATACATTACGAAGCATAATGTGTTGGGAATTCAAAGCAGTGCTTATGTGAAAAGTGCCCCGCTGCATTTACCTGAAACTAAGCTGAAACTAGACCTGAAACCTTACCTGAAACTACCTGAAACTAGAAATGTTGAGCAGAAAGGAACCCTTGTCTATCACGGGTAATGCCTCATACCCATAGACATCTGCGTATTTATCTCAACATCCATTTATTTCATGTCAGCGTTTGATCAGTTACATCAGTTATCATCATTTCCGGGACTGTTGTTTTCATATGGATGCTTTAACCATCAAAACTACAGCCGGCGTTATTATATTTGGCTAGCAACAGTCGCACAAACTTTGAGGTTTTCTGTCTACCCCGCCATGTTCCGCATTTCAATGCTCTGACGTTTTCATTATTTGTAAACTGCGGTCTGACGAAACTGTATTTGAGTCGTGCCGCTCCGCGTTTCGCCGAAACCGAGGTTCCGGTTTCCAATGTATTTGTATTTACAATACGAGTATACCACAGCTGTTCTCAGTATTACAGATCTTTATGGTAATTGTGGCAA